TTTCTCTCTCCTCTCTTTCCCTCTCTTCTCTCTCTCTTTCTGTCTCTATTTCTGTCTCCCTCTCTTTCTCCCTCTCTTTTCTCTCTCTCTCCTGTTTCTTTCCCTCTCTCCTCTCTCTCTCTCTTCCTCCTCCTCTCTCTTCTCTCTCTCTGCTCTCTTTCTTTCCCTCTCTCCTCTCTCTCTCTTTCTCTCTCCTCTCTCTCTCTATCTTCCTCCTCCTCCCCCTCTCTCACAGACACATCAATATATTATCTAGCTATTAAATCCTGACTAGATACCGAACAATCTGGAACTTTACAACATTGCTTAGACTTTTTATAAAAGAGCTTTGGCATTTTTGTACAATTGTACCTCAAACATTATTTTGAAGTTAATTTTTCTTCTTGCAAGTTGTTAGTTTGTCAAACACAACAGATATCGTTCACTCTTCCTACCACGTCAAGTTTTATTTGACCTGCTTACGTGAAGTTGCCGCTGTTTTCCTCCTTGTTTCAGGAAGATGGCTTGGATCCAGGTTCCTTCGATGTCCTAAGAGAGGAAGAGAAACTCACTGTTTCCTAGTGATTGGCTCAAAAAAAACCCAGTTGGCTTTCATGCCTAAGGCGGGACTAGAACTCACCGTCTCCCGGTGATCAGCCCAAAGTCACCCAGCTTGGTTGGTGACCCCTGGTCTGGGTAATCATTCAGCTGATTTTGGGGGGAAGCACCCGCTTGGCCAGGTGAACTGGATCAGGGGTCACCAACCTTTTGGACCTCAGAGACAGCCAAACTCATCATTTTAAATCCCGTGGACCAGAGACCCTGGGAAAATCCCCCCAAAAAAGTCTGCAGGGAAATCCCCCACCCCATTTTTCCTACCGATCGATTGTTCTTTATTTGGGATTGCAGGATACCATCTCTAGCTCCATTCTCAGGGGGAGAGAGAGAGAGACTTTGGGCTTCATGCAAGGAAAACAGCAGAAGCTGCAGAAGTCTTTCTTTCTCTCCCCCAAACTCCGCCAGAAATGAGTCTTTGCCGGTGCAGCCTCTTGGAGCAGGGACGCCTTGCAGGGTCCCAAAGATTCATTTCTGGTGGAGTTTGGGGGAGAGAAAGAAAGACTTTGGCTGCTTTCCTTGCGTGCAGCCAAAAGCAGAAGAAGAAAGAAGCGGAAAGAAGCAGTGGCCAGGCAAGGTGTGTGGGGTGAGTGGGGCAAGTTCCCCCCCTCCGCCCTTCCCCCCCCTCACTACCCCGTGTTGTTCGCGATGCAAGAGAACAAACCTTGCGTTCCCGCGGGCCATGTGGGCGGTGCAGCCTTGTGTTCCCGCGCAGCCTGGATTAATTGCTTTGGGGAGGACATTTCTCTGCGGACCATCAAAATTTTCCCACGGACCACCAGTGGTTTCTGGCCCGCCGGTTGGCGACCATTGGTCTGGATGTCTCACCTCTTCCACTCCACAGTCGCACTCTTCATCCTCGTCATCAATGACGCCGTTCCCACACTCCTTCATGCTAAAGATCTGGGCAGGTTTGTCAAGCAAACAGGTTTTCCCAGGTTTTTGGATCAGCTTCAAATATTCCAGGGTGCTGCAGTTACTCAGTCTGGAACAGTTCCTGTAAGACAATAAGAAATGACTATCCTGTGTGCTGTCATTTTATTTGTAGCTTATTTGTTGTGGTCACTTGTACCTGGCCTTCTATCCTATGCTCTGCTCTGCTATGCTATCCTATATCCCATCCCATTCTATATTCTGTCCATATTCTATTATTCTATTTTCCATATACTACTCTGTTTATTATTCTATATTCTATTCTATTCTATTCTATTCTATTCTATTCTATTCTATTCTA